AATCTAAAGCAATAAATTCCCATCGAAACTATATAGTCCCAGAAAGTTTTGGTACTGTGTTTTAATAATCCAGTCCAAAATACTGGCTAATTTCTTCTTTTGCTATTTAGAGAATGACAATTTTTAAAACTTATCTTTTAGTTATTGATTACTAGCTTAATTGCACTGTGGTATAAGAAAATACTCTAAAAAAAAAAGTTCAACTCTTTGAAATTTGTTGAAACTTGCTTCATGATCAAAGGTAAAAATATCCCACCTAAAACTGAAGCAAGAATGATACAATAATACCAACCTCTTAATATTTTTTAAGGATCTGCTTAATTTTAGACACACATTTTAGGAAATTCTTTCTAATGGCAAACAAATATCTTTCAGCCACTCCTACCTTCTAACCACCTACCCATTATTCTTCTATACATGTATATACATAAAATAGATCTTGACAATGTTGTCTACCCTGATATTAATAACATCTGTAGATGTTTGAATTAGAGGTGATCTTTTAAACATTAATCTTTGCAAAGTATGCATGTATGCATCAATTTTACCAAAAAAATATTTTTCTTATAAAAGACTAGATTCCAATACACCACATTAACAAAACAAGAGATAAAAATAATATGATCTTACCAATAAACACAAAAACAAGCATTTGGTAATATATGACAACTCTTATGATTAAGACAATCAATAAGATGGGTATAGAAAGAAAGTACCTCAAGATAATAAGGGCCATATATGACAAACCCTCAGCTGGTATCATACACAATGGTGGAAAAATGAAAGCTTCTCCTCTAAAATTAAGACAAGGATTCCCACTCTCAACACTCCTATTCAACTTAGTCCTAGCCAGAACAATCAGGCAAGATTAAGAAAGAAAAGGCTTTCAAATGGGGAAGAAAGAAGTAAAATGTCACTTTTTGCAGATCACATGATTCTGTACATAGAAAACCTTAAAGATTCCACTAAAGAACTATTAGAAACAATAAACAAATACAGTCACATTGCAAGACACAAAATCATTGTACAAAAATCCACTGCTTTCCTATATACTAACAATGAAATGCCAGGAAAACAATTAAAAGAACAATTCCTTCTGTAACTGCAACCAAAAGAAAATATTGTAACTAGGGAAAACCTTAACGAAAGATGTAAAGGACCTATATACTAAAAACTACAAATCATTATTAAGAGAAAATGAAAAGACACAATGAAGTGGAAGGATATTCTGCATTCAGGGATTGGAAGAATCAATCCACTGGCATTTAGTGGGTATAGACCATAGCCATGTTACCCAAAGCAATATATAGATCTAATGCAATCCCCATCAAAATCTCAAATGTGATTTTTTAAAGAAATAGAACAAAAATTATCAGATTAGTATGGAACCACAAAAGATCTTGATGAATATCCAAAGCAATCCTGAGAAAAAAAGAGTGAAGCTGGAGTTAATCACACTACCTCACTTCAAATTATACTACAGAGCTAGGGTAATCAAAACAGCATGGCACTGGCAGTAAAAAACGGACACACAGACCAGTGGAAAAGAACCAAGAGCCCCGAAATAAAGCCAGATGCACATGGGCAAATAATCTTCGACAAAGGAGCCAAAAACACCATGGAGAAAACAAAGTCTCTTCAATAATCGATTGCTGGGGAAATTGGAAAGCCACGTGGGAAAGAATGAAACTTGCAAATCAAAACTACAATGAGATACCACCTTACAACTGTTAGAATGGCTATTATCAACCAGATAGATAAATAACAAGTGCTGGAGAGGTTGTGGAGAAAAAGGAACCCTCCCTCACTGCTCGTGGGAATGTAAACTGGTACAGCCACTATGAAAACCAGTATGGCCAGCGTGCGTCAGTGGTTAGAGCGTCTGTCTGCCGGAGCACCAAAGGGTCTCGGGTTCGATTCCTCATCAAGGGTACATATCTGGTCCATCCTTACAACCTGTCAATGGAAAGACTTATCAACATGATTACTAAATAGAAATGGTGAGCGGCAAGGTCGGTAACAACAAACTGGAGACTAGAGAGCAGCCGATCTACATGTGTGGTCAAGAGCCTGTACAAGAAACACTGCTGGAAGACACAGGGCATTGTCAAGAATTGAAGGGCCTGGCCTTTCAAAGGTGTGTGAACAAAAAAATTTAAAACGTGTATTACCTATTTAATCAGGAGCATGGGCCTCTTCTCCTTTAAATTGTCAAATAAAAAAATAAAAAAAATGACAACAGCTAACACAACAGTAGCCGCATGGTGTGTGAATGAGTCAGTTTCATTCACACACCAGGTGTGTGAATAGTTTTATACTTTTTTTTTTTTTTTTGGTCAGATTGGCAAAAAACACATTTTTTGGTGTGCTGCAGAATTTTAGCAATTACTTTGTGTGTGCCATGAGATTAAAAAAAAAAATAAGGTTGAAAAATCACCGACTTGGAGGAATCCAACAACATTGCAAAGGTTGCCATATGCGCTGTGCTAATACTTCAACAAGCACTTTTGAAAACTCCTAAGACATCAATATCATATCATTATGACCAATTTTTTGGGGGTGGGGAGTGGGGAAAGAATGGTACACAGGCCCTATGATGAAAGAACCCCAGGACAGCCGTCCATCTAAATGGCAACCGGAAAAAAAGTTCCTAGGTCCTTCCTTCCACCTCAAGGCAACATACACCCTTTCAAAATACATGACACAAGAATTTTTTTTTTTTTTTAAATAAGGAAAGCAAAATACTTGATACTAAATCAACTAGGTTGCAGTTGAAGTTAAGCCTTTTCTTTTCTCTACTATGGGGTGTTGAAGTGGGACCCTCACGGAGGCAAACCTCAAAGACACTCTGCCCCAAACCCAAAACAGGTGGGCAGGGCGGTCCTCTCAAGAGTCTCCAAGACGGGAAAGAGAAGCGTCATAATAAAGTTTAATACTCTCCTCCGGGTGGGAGGGGAGAGCGAGGGGATCGGCCCTGGGGACATAGGGGGTGAAGGGATCCCCCCTCCAGGGGGAGAGAGAGCAGGAAGCGCGGGGCAGGACAAGCTGCGACACCGAGTGCTCCCCGCCCGTCCGCCCGCCCGCCCGGGTCCCAGCACCCCGGCCCGGCTGCCCCCGCTGCCCCAGGAGCCGGCCCGGGCCACACCCCCCTCCCCGGCCCTCGGCCCGGCGCGGGGCCACGCGGGAGGCAGACCGAGGGGAGGCTCGGGCTCACCGGGTCCCTCCGGGGTGGACGGCGCCGCCGGGGGCCGGTGCGGCGGGGCCCCGCCGCCGGGCTCCCGCAGGTAGTCCTCGAAGCACACCTGCCGGGCTTCGCCGCCGCCCGCGAGCCCCCACAGGCGGTGGGCCGTGCCCCGCAGCAGGCGCCCGCCCTTGCCCGTGAACGTGGTCAGGTAGTCCATGGCGCCCGCCGCGGGAGGGGGCCGCGGGCCGGGCCAGGGCCAGGGCCAGGGCCGACGAGCGCGGCGCAGGGTGTCGCGGAGGAGCGGCCACTCCGTGGGCGCCGCCGGCGCGTCCAACCCGACGCGGGGCAGGGGCTCCCGGGGGCGGGGCTGGGGGGGCGAGGGGGGAGGGAGAGGGCGTCCCCGGCGTGGCCCGGGGCGAACCATTCGGAAACTACGCTAGGGGGGGAGGGGGAAGCAGAAGTTGGACAAAACTTTTTAAAAGTTTTTTTTCTGGCTGCTTCCACGCGCCAAAAAGCAGGAGAAAGTGTCTAAATGAGGGACATTCTTCCTAAAACAGACGCGGGGGTTGGAAAGTTGGGACTTGGAAGCAGGTCGGGCTGGCCCTAGCCTCCCCCACCCCCTCCCACACCCGCCAGCCCCGATGGAGCGGCCGGCCCCGCCCTCCCCGGCCCCGCCCACCCGCCCGCCCGGCCAGACCGGACTTGCGGGCTGGGCTGAGCAGGGCTGGGGGTGGAGGCCCCGCCTCGGGGCCCCAGGGCCGCGGCCCGGAGGGGAAAATGGCCCCGGGGAGGCTTTGCAGGGAGGGGCCCGCAGGCTGGGGGCCTCTGGCGGTGTCCAAAGGCTTCTCAGTGGGGAGTGTGCTTGTGGGCGGAGGCGCACCGGCCCCGGGAAACTTCTCTAAGTTTTTTTTTTCAGGGGCGGGATGGAGAGGAGGAAGATGGGAAAGTTAGTTTCAAGGTAAAAAAAAAAAAAAAAAAAATGCAGTCGTTGTTCAAGAAAACCCAACCCAGATAGAGAACGTAGATAAAGCGGGAAGCATTAGGAGACCATCTTCGTAAAAATAAAGCACAAAGAGTCAAAGCATTAAAGTTCGCCGCGGCTTTAAGGCCTTGTTGTTTGACATCCCAGGAATGTAGTCTGTGAAGCGAGGTAATGACGGGTTTGCAGGCAGAGGAAGAGCAATGACTTTTTTTTTTAATTTCTTAATTGATTATGGTATCACATAATTGTCCTCATCCCCCTATTCCCATCCCATCCAAACCCCTCCCCACGTATGCTCCCACCCCCCTGTTGTCCATGGCCACGGGTTAGGCTTATATACATGCAAATACTTTTTTTTTTTTTTTAAGATTTTAAAATATATATATTTTATTGATTTTTTTACAGAGGAAGAGACAAGCATAGAGAGTTAGAAACACCAATGAGAGAGAATCATAGATTAGCTGCCTCTTGCACACACCCTACTGGGGATGTGCCCTCAACCAAGGTACATGCCCTTGTCGTGAATCGAACCCAGGACCTTTCAGTCCACAGGCTGATGCTCTATCCACTGAACCAAACTGGTTTTGGCTGCAATGACTTTTGACAGACATTTCCTATTCGGTTTTGTTCCCTGTGAGATCTGGTTATTCTCTTCTTTTCAGGTTTGTTATACTTCTCTCAGGTTTTCTTAATCTTTTTTCTGCAGAACCATGAAACGACTCCCCCCCTCATCCCTTGTTAGAAACTGATATTTTCCCCACCGTCACTGTTTTCAGTTTAAATTCTTACTGAGTTGGACAGCCGTCCCCATTCTAACACCAGCGCCACCTTTAGATGTGGTTAAAAATAGAACATTGTTTGGGCTGCACCTGAGAATGTCATTCACAGTGTTTGTAAGAAAGGACCAGGAGTGTGCACACCCGGGCGCTCAGGTGGGCTGCTTGGAAAAGCACTGCTCCGGACTCCGCTCTGTGCCTCCTTTGAGCCCATTCGGTAGGATGGTAAGTGGCTCCTGTTTTTGTGTATTTTCTTCTTTTTATTCTGAAATTTATAGTCCATATAGAAACATGGCCATGCTCACACCACCTCTGCGATCTCAGAGGGGCGCAGCACACTGACCACCATCGAATTTCAACGAATTAAATGTAATCCTGATGAACTAAATGGAAATCTTTTTCTAAGATGTTTTATGTCTTTTTAAAAAAATATGTTTTATTGATTTTTTTTACAGAGAGGAAGGGAAATAGAAACATCCATGAGAGAGAAACATTGATGAGAGAGAAACATCAATGAGCTGCCTCCTGCACATCCCCCACTGGGAACTTGCCAGCAACCAAGACACTTACCCTGACCAGAATCGAACCCGGGACCTTTCAGTCCGTAGGTTGACTCTATCCACTAAGCCAAACCGGTTTTGGTTTTTTGTTTATTTTTTAATGTTTTCATTGATTTCAGAGAGGAATTGGGAGAGAGAGAGAAATATGAATGATGAAAGAGAATCACTGATTGCTGCCTCCTGCATGCCCCCTACTGGGGATCCAACCTGGAATCACACCCTTGCCTCCTAGCTCCTTGGTGGAAGCTCAACCACTGAGCACACTGGCTCGACAATGTTTTACATCTTGAAAGTTGTTTGGTTTGTGATAGCCATATTCAAAAGTGTTTCGAGTGTTTTATATCCGATTAAATTGGCACTTTTACATCCAACCTTAGCAGGAATCTGTTCAAACCCAGTTTCACAGGCAGTTAATCCCTGTGTTTCTGCTTGTTTCATGGAAATCTAGAAAAAGTCATTGCTCTTTCTCAGCCCAGAGGAGGATAAGGTTGAACACCAAAACCCTTAATTTCCTCACTTTACAGGTTATACATTTTTCTAGAGAAAAAAAAAATGTATAACCTCTATCAGCGGTTGGTAAACTCATTAGTCACAGAGCCAAATATCAACAATACAATGATTGAAATTTCTTTTGAGAGCCGAAAAACCGACTTCTGCACATGGGCCACGAAGTTTCAATTGCACTGTACTTGTGCACCTGCATGTGGTATTTTGTGGAAGAGCCACACTCAAGGGGCCAAAGAGCCGCATGTGGCTCGTGAGCTGCAGTTTGCCAACCACCAACCTATAATAGATGGTTGAGTGCTTTACTATTTTTTATTTAAATTTGGCTAAGCCCTAATGGTTTAAAAAACCATTTTACTCATATATTCAGCTTTCTTTTATATTCTTTACGTTTGTTGTCTGAACCATCATCATTCTGAAATTGCCAATAGTCATCACTCAAGCTTATTACTTCACCTTCTTCATGATTCAGAAAACCATAGGCCATTGTTATGAAAACTCACTTTTCTTTCCTTTTTCTCTGCAGCCTACAAGTTCATCTCCATATTTTGATACATGTTTGAGATCTGCTCCTTTATAGTTCTTCCAAGTGCTTTTGCATATTTAGCCCATGTGAATCACACATTAACTTCCGAAATAGGGTCAGGAGACTGGTTTCAGCTAACACTGAGCAGAACTGACAAATGTGTTTTACACTCACATGTAAAGAACGGCCTCTGGCTGAGACCGGTTTGGCTCAGTGGATAGAGCGTCGGGCTGCGGACTGGAAGGTCCTGGGTTCGATTCCAGTCAGGGGCACGTACCTTGGTTGTGAGCACATCCCCAGTGGGGGGTGTGCAAGAGGCAGCTGGTCGATGTTTCTCTCTCACCAACGTTTCTAACTATCCCTCTCAATTCCTCTCTATGTAAAATCAATAAAATATATTTTTAAAAAAAGAATGGCCTCTGTTCAAAACAGCCAATGTTTTGCACTCTAGGTGCCTCTGCCCTTGTCTTAGCAACCAATGATAATACCTGTGCCAGATAGTACAGCTATGAGACTGGGAGCCATCTCCAACAGCCTGGATCCCTGAGATGCTATGTGGAGCACAGCCCCTCCCCTTAACCATAACCAGAACTGGACATGAAATATGAGCAAGAAATAAAATTAATAAGATAACACTTACTACACAAGCCTTTGAAGTTTGGGGGTTCAAGTAGCAGCATAGCATAAACTTAGCCTACCTTAACTGACGCAAAGTTTTTTCAAATGCTTAATTTACATGAACTTTTATCATGTATGCCAAATTAATATACTAAAGATTACCTGATTTATGTTGTCAAGTTAATGCATTTTGTTTTTTAGGCCTCTCTTGCCATTTCTATATTCTGACAAGATTTCTTAGATTGCAAGATTATTAATTTCTTTTATCATTTAAACACCATGTGAATAAGGGTTTTCTTGACATTGTACAACCAAAAGCAAGCAAACAAGCAAGCAATAACCAATTTATAATAAATAGAATGTTGAGGCACTGATTCTAATACGAATCCATTAATTATCTATCACTCCTAGTTTAAAACTTCAGTTTTGTTCATATCTGCCCAATTATTGTTTCAATAAATCTCTTCATAATCAGAAAACATTATAAATTTGAACTTGTAAAACACATGCATACTCATAAAATGCCATTTTTATGTTTTATAAATTGTTTTTTCATAAAACCACATTAAAAATAATTGCTTTTAGGAGTTACAAGAGTAAGTCTCATTTCTCTCCCACAAGATGCCCTTAACATAATAAAAGCTCTCTTGAACCTGAGAGGGGCTTTGGTGTTTATCTAGTCCAGCCTCTTGATTTTATTGCTTTGTTAGCCAAGGCCCAGAGAAGTTAAGTGAGTCAAAGATCACACGCTTGAATGAGAACAGAGCCAGAATATCCCAGGTTCTCCTACAGGGAGTGCTGCCACATGAAGTACTCCACCTGAGCACTGAACTGTGAGTCTCTCCATTTACCCAAACATTTGTTGATTTGGCATGATGTCCCATTAAATGTTATCCAGATGTGAATGCAGGTCAAACTATTTATTTTTGAGATTTAGCTTTCCTATTTGCAAAATCAGAGCAAATAATGCCCACTTTGTTGCTCTATAGGTAACATTAGGCCCATTGTTCTTTGGCCTTAAATGAAGAAATTTAGATTTACTGCCTGTAGACTTCAAACTATACATCTAGATCAGGATTCAGCAAAGTATGGCACAAATCTAGCCTGGCACGAGGTTTTGCATTTGGTTTTATTGGGATACAGCCACACCAGTCCATTTATATATTGTTTATGGTGGCTTCTGGGCTACAACAGCAGAAAGGACTAGTGACAGAGACTTGAGGACCCAAAAGCCTAAAAAACTTACCGCCTGCTATTCTCAGAAAAATCCTGCAGATGTAAGTTCTAGATTTTTGAGATCATGTGAAACCACTCGTGATTCTTTCATGTGCACTATCATTCAATCTCTCCTTCACTGAATCAGTCTCCGGTTTGTCTGTCTTCAAATGTTGAATGAGATATGGGCAAGGAGAGTCACAGGACTGAGCACTGGAGACTGCCTTCATGGTTGACAGTGATTACTACTGGCTGAACAGTTATCAGAAGAGCTATGAATCCACTCAATAATACCATCACCCAGTTCTCATTTCTCAACAATGTCATGTATTTGTTACATGCCTTCCTAATGTGCAGACGAGGCACAGATTCCAAGTGGTTTCAAGCCTTTGTTGTTTCTATCTCCTTCAATTCCATTTCAACTCCATTTTTAACATTTGAGTTATTCATCTAACTTGCAGGTTTTTGGCAGATCTTGTAGAGATTATTTAGCTGTTACCAAATCTGATTATTATTCTTCCTGGGCTCACTACATTTCTCAAAAAAACAAAACAAAACAAAACAAAACAAAAAAAACTTTTTTTTTTTTTCAATTGGGTGCCCAAGTGACTGGTTTTTAGCCAGTGGAAGGCTTGCAAAGGTTATATATGCTACTTTCCAACTTGGCCCATAGGAGCATTTGGTAGCCTTTCATATTCTTTTTCATGTTCACAGCCAGGAAAAGATGAGCATGGAGACCTGAGAAGCCATTTCTTAAAGATGGCAGAGCCACAAGATAGAAGGAAGCTGGGCCTCTGAATCCATCTTGGAGGAAAGAGACTTACCATCCAGGAACACCAGTTTTAGATTTGAAAACAAGAAATAAAATTATATTGTATTTAAGCTATTATATATATTTTGATTTTTTTTTGTTATAAATTTTGTAATTTCCAAAATTACACTGTCAGTCCTACAAGTTTCTGATCACACATGAAAATGTACTGATAACTCAGCAGAGGTTAGTAATTCATGCAAAAAGGGTACGTGTGATCTATCCTCACCCATTTTAGCCTACAAGGTTCCGTTTCACAGTTTTTGTTTTGAATTTTCTATTAGCTCATTCTTCTTCAGAAAAATAAAGCAAAATAGGCATTACACTCTGTTCTGCCTTTTAGTGATCTGTTAAACAATGCACATCTTCCTCAAAAAGAGAGCCTCGCACTTCCTTCTTATTTGCCTTTATTCTAGGACTTCCCTTTTCACAGAATGATCCTACTGTAGTTGCTAGTTTTGTTCATGTTTGGCCTTTCTGGCACTCTTTGCAATTTTATGCCTTCCCTTTACTTGTCCTTATAACATGCTCTTGCTGTTTCAATCCCTTCTAAGAGCTAAGTTCAGAGAATATCTTGTCAAGTCACACTAGTTTCTCCCCATTTTGCTTTCTTATTCAAACCATGACTTCAGCCTAGTCTGTATGGTTCAGTGGTTGAGCATCAACCCAGAAACCAAGAAGTCACAGGTTGGATTACCTGTCAGGGAACATACCTGTGTTGCCAGCAGCTGATGGATGATGTTTCTCTCTCCTTTATGTTTCTATCTCCCTTCCTCTCTCTAAAAATCAATAAAAACATTAAAAAACACAAAAACTTAGGACTCACTTCATTTGATTTTTTTGGGGGGTGGGGTGGGGAATGCTGCTACCTTAATTCTAGTCCATGAAATTAAATTAAAATGTCTTGTTTATCATTAGAACATGGCCTGGCACATAGTAGGTATTCAGATACTATATTTGTTGAATGAATGAATGAATGAATGAATGAAATCATATCCAACTTTTCTCAAAAGTTGATTCCAAACTACTTTTTCATAACCCAATAATCAGATGTAATTTGAGTATACTCCCTCTCTTCATTATTAAGACATAACAATTATCTGATACTTTTCTCTCAAACAGCTTTGGCTATCCATTTTAGGAGCTTTTGAAAAAAAAAAAATTCAGGTCACACTTCAGATCAATAAAATCTAAATCTCTCAGAGGTAGGATCCACACAGCGGGAGGACACCACCCCCCCCCCCCCCCCCCCAGCCCCAGCTGATTTCAATGTGAAGTCCCAACTATGAATCACTGCAAGGCTCCTGTTGTTTCCTTAATATAATCTTTCTTGTTAGTGAAAAAGTCCAGAGGCCAATACATATTATGACATCGTCTTGTAAGGGATTGCCAGACAGTAATAACAGATAGACATCAATTGTTTAGTAGGCCTGGCATTGTACTAGGAGTATTTCATACATGATTTCCTGTAGGTCTCACTTCGCACTGTGAGGACGGTTAATGAGCTCTCCTCTGCAAACAAGGGTACTGTAGTCAGAGGAGTTCAGGAAAGTGACATTGTCAGTCAGGTTAGCCAAGAGTGTCTTCGGTATTTGCTCCTCACTTACTGAAACCAGTGGCACAGCGGGTTTCTAGCCATGGACAATTTTGTCTCCTAGTAGGGTTACTAGCTAAAATAGGGACCTCCAAGTTAAGTCTGAATTTCAGACAAACAACAAACAAATGTTTAGTACAAGTCTGTACCAGATATTGTATGAGATACCAAAAAGTTACTTGTGGCCATCAGAAAATTAAATTTACTGGGTGTCCTCTATTCTTATTTGCTAAGTCTGGCAAACATATCCCCAGGGACTACCGTATTTTCCGGCGTATAAAACAACACCCTAATTTTACAGTTAAAACATAGGTTTAGGCCTATATTCGCTGTATAAGACTACCTCCCACTTCCAAGGCAACACCAGTTCTTTTTTTAATAGACCGCCTCTCTGATTCTGGCCAATCTGAACAGGCTTTTTACTAGAACGTACTTGTTGGCCAGAGTCAGAGAGGCGGTCTATTAAAAAAAGAACTGGTGTTGCCTCAGAAGTGGGGGGTAGTCTTATACAGCGAATATAGGCCTAAACCTATGTTTTAACTGTAAAATTGGGGGGGTCGTTTATACGCCGGAAAATACGGTATTTACAGATATTATCAGACTAAGGGTGTATTTCTGGCATCTAGTAGATTGAGGCCAAGGATTCTGCTTATGATCCTACAATGCTCAGGACAGCCCTGCAACAAAGAATTGTCCAACTTCAAATGTCGACATTGCCTAGGTTGAGAAACCCAGGTTAGTATGTGGGGAAACATTAAGCATCCCTATAACCACATTGTACCTTTGGCTGCTTATATGGTCTCTCTTCAGAAAGCCTTATTTTTATGCCGCTTACTGACATATCCTTCTGAGCTTTCTCTTTCAGCCCCACATGTTCACTTACAGCTTCAAAATCTATGGGGTGCCCCCATGTAAAATGTACGGGGCCCCAATCAAGACACCCTCCTCTCTGAAGTTCTTTGAACCAATTTGATTTAGCTGCAATTAATTCAAAGAAACCTTGGACTGAAAGGAAGGTGTAATGAAAGCCCAGATGGCAAATATAAGATAGCTACATGCAAAATAGTTTATTGCTAATAGAATGATGCTTTTTTAGCCAGCAAATCTGTATGTTGTGAATACCATTGGCATGATGAAGTATCTGATAACTTCTGAAGCTGTATCACTTTGTAGGTGCTTTCTCAAAACTTTAGTACAAGATGTATTTAAATGACTTTTAACCTCAGTTATTTTATAGAACATGCAGATTGGCTTGTCATGAATAAATCTATGTACATTTACTTTATAACATGCATATTTTCTTATTTGATTTTGGAACCCGTAAAAAGTATGCTGATTATTCTTTCAAGTGTTGTGATCAAACATAGAGTGTATTTGGTACAAAAAGTTATAACTATTTCTTCAAGATTGGAGCTTAAACATTGAATGACGTGTCACATTTGAATTTCAAAAGAATTAATTTGTTTTCCTCAAATGTAATTTTAGTACACTCAATTTAAGTTTCTAAAAGTTTTCTGCAATATAGCAGATGTCCATTTTATGTCTTCAAAAGTTAGAGCTTGTGTTACTGTCCAAAGTAAAGATCATTTGCTATTGGGGCTTTTAAATATATGTACTTCTATTATTTTGAAGTAGAGGATTACTGTGCTTTAAAATCATCATATTCACTACTTATCTCTCCCAAAAAGAAGAGATCATGCATTTTGCATAATATAAAAAGGGCTCTATCCAGAAGTCCACTTGTCTTTAAAAGTTGCAATAAGGTTTATCTGCATTAATAAGGGGTAATTATAATTATCATAAAAGTCTAATACACCATTAATTTAAAAAACAAAAACAATTTAAGTGTCCAGAAATTAAAAATCACACAGGTCTAACAATGCTGTGTCCGATAAGCAGAGGCTTAACCTAAATTAAAGAAGTGCAAGGAACAGCACCTGAGTGTCAGCAACTCTGATTCACGGTCAGATGAAATTCCTTCCACTATCCCATTCCTCATTTATTTCTCTGAATACATATTTGTCTAATGGAAAAATCTTAAAGTGGTCTGGATTATTCCATAAAATCCAAACCAACAGACCCAAATATAGTACCACAGAAGACACACTACTTGTGGTTAAAATGGGAAGGCTTCTGGAAACAAATTCCTGCTCTCCCACTGACTCACCCTGTAAACATGAGGCACCTACTAAGCCGGTCAGGCGTCGGTTGTTCATGGGTGAGCAGTGTACTGTCTGCACCTGGGGAGTGCCGGCTCAGTTTATTGGTCTTTGAGAACCACTCTCGGTTTTCTACAGGAAGGAGCCAGAATTATAAAACACATTCTCCCAAACACTGCCACTTAATAACTTATCAAAGTGCTTCGTTTTTCTTTTTTTCTTTTTAATAGCTTAGGATATCTCTTTTGCTCCGCTTTCCAGAAAAAGGAAAAAAAAAGATATGCCTTGTAATGGGTAAGTACATTAAGGGTTTATGTGTGTTGAAAGGAATTCTTTTGTATATGACAAATACACACCAGCTTAAAGGGTTTCCTATTGATCACATAACATCAAAAGGCCTTCGTCTGCAATTACCAGCATAGATTCTCAGCAGAGTAAGGTGAGTACAGGATTCGGTTAGATACTGATTTGGATGAGTAGGTAGCTCAGCATTCCATCAGTCACCCAGGACAGGGAACTACCAGTGAGAAGGCCAGGAGATGAAAATGGGGATAGGCCAGAGGCACCATTAACCGCTCTTTCTTTTTTAAAAAAAACATAATGAAGGCATTAAGTCTAAGATCCATTCACAAAATATAACATCTACCATAGGATGCTTTTTGAGAAGGGAGTTGACAGATGTTTTTAAGTCTTCTGGCTTTTTTTCTCCCCTAGAACTACCCTCCCCACCCCCACCCCTTTTTTTAAATTAGACTGGATACTCTTTCTCACTAAACATTTTAAAATTAAATTGATTGGGGTGACATTGGTCAACATGAACATATAGGTTTCAGGTGTGGATTTCTATGTTACATGATCTGTTTATTGCACCATGTGCTCACCACCCAAAGTCAAATCTCCTCGCACCATATATTAGGATCCCTTTTATCCTTCATCCCTGGCTTCTGGCTTTTACCAGGACTATATCTAAAATTGCCCCCATACATGACCTCACTCATTTATGGATAATAAAGAACATTATAAACTGATGAACCAAAAGATAGATATAGAGACAGTAAAGCAACAAGCAGACTGTCAAATTACAGGGGGGAGGGGAGGGAGATTTGGGGGAGGTAATAGATCAACCGAAGAACTTGTATACATGCATATAAGTACAACCAATGGATATAAAACTCTGGGGAGGGAGGGTATTTATGGGAGGGAGGGGGGCAAAAAAATCAATAAAATATATTAAAAAATAAAGAAATAAATAAAAATAAAAAAATAAAATTGCCCCCATTTTCATCCTATTTTTTAAATCCTTGTCAGAACGATTCTC